TTTACTGGAATTGATGCTGTTGCTAACGCTAAAGTCAGGTCATGAGAGTCGGGCGGCCAATCAGAATCTACTCCTTTACATTCATTCAGAAGCTTTCTAATTTCCATGGCGACAGTGAACAATATCTGTAGTGAACAGTTTGGCATTGGAGGTGTCGTTCCTTTATCTTCGTGTTCACCATCTTCACCGAGTTTGCTGTTGTCGTTTTCACCGTCATTATCGTAATCATCTCCTTCATCTTCTTCGGTATCAGAATCACTCTGTATTGTCGTCATGTCATCCGCTACATTACCTGCTGTCAGGCTATCATCGTAGACCAGAGTTCCTTTATTCATAGTTTTCGAGCGATGGAAAACTAGGTATGGATAACGCGTTTGAATTCTCTTCCTAAGCCTAGAAGCTTTGTAGGGTACATCAACCATTTCAATTTCTTGTACACAGGAGGTAAATATCTTTAACAAATTGCCAAGTAATAGAACTTCTTTATTCTTGATGATTCTCTTCTCGATTATTTCTAAACAAAACTTATCAAATGCTTTGTCATACAAGGTTGGACCAATGATCTTCCTTTCTCTTAAAAGGCATGTCGTGTACGTCTGGTAACATCGTTTGTGGTACCTGGCTTCAATAGCAACACAGTCTCTCCCACGGATATGAATGAGAATGCTTTCATCGTTCCTTAACAATGCCGCCTTCTCTAATCTTCAGGCCGTCACGGTTTGAGCCAATGATAACTCGTGTTTAACACGTTTTTTCGTTGCCTGCAAATATGAGTATTTGTTTCTGATGAGAATTACGGGGATATGAGAAAATAACAGAAACTCGATACAACCCCCCAGTATGAGATCTATATACAAAAAGTATATGGTGTCGGAAAAAAAATTAGGGGTTAGGGCAAGTTCAGGTCAGCCCCTCAAATCCTGTGGCCGTGCCTGATAACCATGCTGTACTATGTTTTTATAGAGACATTAAAATACTTTGGAGTAAATAAATTAATATTACAAAAACACATAAAAAGATAAAGCAAAACTTTATATACCTTGTCTGTGATGTAGATCGGCCCATGCCGTTTACATATTAGACAAATCTCGGGCAAAACATTTGATGATCGAGCAGGAAAAGATTGTCGAGTAGTTCGGGTCACTTTTTCTGGTCTTGGACAGTTGGTCTGAGTATTGTCGTCGGCCACTCGCTTGCGATCGGCAGCATTAGTCAACGTAGTTTTGGCTCTATCAAGTTTACTTTTGTCTGTAAAACTTCGATAACAGGCAGGATGAAAGCAACATGTTTTCGCAATATTTTCCGGGTTTAAATCGTCAGTTTCATGAATAAACTCGAACGACTTTTTGGCGACTTCAGTAAAGGCTTTATACGAGGATGGCAGACTTAACCACTCCTTTCTTCTTTCCAAAATTCTATTCACGGTTTCACTTGTAATTCTCTAAGCTCTCCGTCTTTACCCTCGAAATGAATGACACATACTCGATGAGAATCATCACTACCAGCACTGGAAGTAGTTTCCATTTTGGATTTTTTTTTCGAATTTATTAACCCCCGTAAAAATACCTTGCCATCGTTCTAAATGACAACGCGGCCGCAAATTGAATAGACTGGAACGGAGTAAACACACATTTGAGCGATGCAATTTAATTCGAAGCATCGAGGAATAATAAACAAAATGGCGGGCGATTGTTGGAATTTCGTCAAAGGAGTGCAAATAAACATGAATTTTACAAAAATACTGCGGGTCTACGGAGCGGGAACTCTTCGGATTCAGATTCAGCATGTTTAAAAGTGGTAAGTTATGTAAAAGTATTTGAGTTACGAGGCACGGTAAATGAAAGTGAAAGATATTGGGCCACGACAAACGGCCTATAGGAGACATTGTTATTATTCGTAACGACCAAACGAAACGTAATTTTTGGAAATTGGCGAAAGTGGAGCAACTACTCCGCGGTGAAGACGGGGTTCCTCGTGCTGCTGTTGTCACAGTTCTTCGTGAGAATTCAAATAATTCGCAGTTATTAAGACGCTCAATCCAGCACTTGATCCCTATTGAAGTGAGACACGAAAGTGAGACCGACGGATTAAAGAACGCATATCAAGAAAGTGAAGAGACGGCGAACGCACAAGTATTACGTCCAACTGAGCGACCGCAACGGAATGCAGCCATAACCGGACAATTGAAACGGTTGAAACAGATGGGCAAGTTGTAGAACAGTACGAACAGTTAATTTACAGTCTATTGACATTTTGATATTTAAATACGTTCAGACAATTTATAGTATTTCGAAGACTTTGTTGACTCGTTATGAACGTGTCAACCCTGGGGAGTGTAACATACGTCATAGCGGAACATACATCATAGCGGAACATACGTCATAGCGGAAGTAAAATGGACAGAGCACGTTGTTGTTGTCTTGATAGTGTACAAAATGTAGGGTAAAAATATATATGTTGTTTTGTATGGTTTTATATGCGATTGTTTTTACCGTTTCGGTGAGAAATACGAGAGAAGTAGTACGAGTAAAGAACGATTAACACACCCCTAGAATATGTGGGTCTTAGAGCAGGACTAGTGAAATTTCGCTAGCTACGCCACTGCTCTCACGACCGACTGTTTGCTGGGCGTTATCTCAGGTTTTATGCGCCAAACAAGGACAAAAATATCACTGTTCGAATCAAGAATGTGTGGGTCTTAGAGCAGGACTAGTGAAATTTCGCTAGCTACGCCACTGCTCTCACGACCGACTGTTTGCTGGGCTTTATCTCTGGTTTTATGCGCCAAATAAGGACAAAAATATAACTGTTCGAATCAGCGTAAACCTCTGTATTTATGTATGGTAAATTGATTTCAAAATTGATTTCTATTCCAGCGATTCATGGCTTTTGAAAGACAAGCCGCACAAAATAATCCTTTCATGTTTTCAGAGTTTCTTTTTTCGAGGAAAGTTTTCTTCCAATTAATCTCGGACTTTGCCTTATCTCTGTTTTTTCAGTCTTTTATGCGCCCAATAAGGACTAAAATACCACCGTTCGATTCAACGTAAGAAATTGTACTTACGGATGTCAAATGTATTACTAAACAACAGTATTCTAGCGATTTATGGCCTTTGAAAGTCAAGTGAAATTGTATTGTTGAAAAATCGCTCAAAATTATTAAACTAATTAAAAATGCAATCATTTGACCTTCATAAATTCGGTATCGTTGGTTTTCTCGTTTTCGACCGTGTACCAATGGATTCGTCTTACTTTTCGCTTCGTTGTTATCCCCGAGCCGACGGCGCGAAGCGCCGTGCGAGGGTACTAATTCCCCCCGGCTATTTACACCCGGGGAAACGAAAGCATTAGCGGAGTCTAAAGTTCATCAATTATCGCGGGCGCTCACCAACGGTGTTGAGTGGGTGGTTATCATTGATCTCAGAATATGGCTGTTTGCCAGGAGTAAAGAAGGCAAAAATATAAAAAAATACATGTAAGAAAGCTTGGAAAATCGTTTCACATAACAAATTGTACAACTTTTTTCATTTTTTATTAAACGTAAACATTGATAAGAATTGATATTGTATTATAAATCCTAAAGTATAGGGCAAGTTTGCTTCAATTGTTTATGTATGACTTAGTATTTAATAATATAGACATTGTTTTTGATGTTCAAGTCTTTCCTATGCATTGTTTGTGAAAGTTTCTTAGTTAAGTTAACTTTTGTAGAAGCTCATGATAAAAAGGAAAGCAAATTATTTTTATTAGCGTCCTGAACGAATTAAATTTGTTTCATTTCAAAGTGCGAGTAATAAGTTGGAGCTCGAGTTGAGAAGTTTATAAATATCGGCAAAAAGCAGTTAATTTCAATTCACATTTAAAAACCATTTACGTAGAGTTTCGTTTTCAATTTTACATTAAAATAAAGCCCATAGAAACCAAAATATTATACCCTTTAGAAATTGATAGTTCTGTATTTAAAAGTGTTCAAATTTCATCTATTTTTTCCCGGTTTGTACAAAAAAATTAAAAAAAAATATCGTGTTACCATGACTAACATGACGTGGCAACGCGCGCCTGTGTTCAGTGTGGTTCAGTGTTGGCGTAATTACGAATACTTCATGTTGAAACAATGTTTGGAAAATATAGGCGAGGGGTTGTTGCATGCATGTATTTCTAGTAGTATTTTGAACCCAAAATAGTCTATTTTGAAGGTTTTAAGAGGCATTGTCTGCAAGAACGGTCCAGCGAATTCTGACTCAATTTTCGTTTGGCTTCATAATATATCTACTAGAAATACATGCATGCAATAACCCCTCGCCTGTTTTCAAAAGATGTATATACTCAGTGCCGTTGCTAGCACTTCGTCTCAGGGTGTGTGTGAGGTTAGATAGAGGGGGGGGGGGGGGGGGGTTACCAAAATGTTTCCAGATGTACAAAAAATTTTCAGGACATATAATAATTTTTCCGAAAATACAGTTGTTTTCCAAATTCACTTTCTCATGTCCTGAGAATTACCTGAATTCCCCTGAAAATCTTCTGCAAATCTACTTAAATTTACCTAAAAGTGCACTGGAAATCTACCTGAAATTCCTCATGAGCAATTATCAGGGGTGTTGCCCCCCCCACAGTGAGTTTCACGCATTCACGCAAACACTCTCTGATTTATTGTTCGTGTATTTCATCTCCCAAAATTTTGTGCATCATACTATAGAGCATTTTGCTGTTGTCATGGTCTAGCGTGGTTCAAATTTATGAATTTTTATCATATAAAGTATAGTGTTTTATGTACTATTTAAAACACGAGTAGGAGTGCAGCCGAGCGTTATATATCTGATAAAACACGACAACGAGTGTTTTGAATAGCTTAAAATACGACTACAAAAGACTACTAATTAGGATGAACCATAGTATAATCATGCTAATTAAGATGAACAATTATATAATGCCACATGTGTTTTATCAGATATAAAGTCACTCCACGTGACATATTATGGCTGACATGTTTGCCACAAGGTTTATGAATTATTAATGAGTATTTTAAAGAGATTTCGAGCACTGATAAAAATGATAATCTCACATGTGAAATTATTCATGATAATCTCACATGTGAAAATTATCGCCTTTTCAATTATCGCTTTTCTGTAAAAATTATCGCTTTTCAAAGACTGTCCTTTATATAATAAACAGAAAAATACATGGGTGGTTGGAAATACCAGATTTATTTTTCGTGTTGAACATGACATCTCACTCGTTCGATGCGCTCACTTGTTCGCTCCGCACTCATGTTCAACACTCGAAATAAATCTGGTATTTCGTGCAACCATGTATTATTCTCTATTTAAACTACAACTTGACTGGTTTAAATTATTATCAAGTTATCAGTGATAGTAAAAGTTGCAGATAGAAGTGTTTTGTTTTATATTATTATCAAGTTATCAGTGATCGCAAAACCTCCAAATCCTTAATTTCAAATGTTAGAATGTTAGGGTTTGTAATCCAAGTGAGAATTATATACATTTTAAGACCTAAACAGGAACGACTGCGAAAAATGCAGCACAAGGTCCTCTGGTAGGAATTGAACCTACGGCCCTGCGATTCCGGTGCAGCGCTCTAACCAACTGAGCTACAGAGTCCAGCTGTTGAGCTTTAACCGTAAGTTCATGTATATTTAGGTAATCGGGTGTGCGGGTTGTGATAAGGTGGACTTCAATAATTTGGATTCTTGCACTTCACTTGGTGGAATTAATATTAGAATGTTAGGGTTGGTAATCCAAGTGAGAATATATACATTTTAAGACCTAACCAGGAACGACTGCGAAAAATGCAGCACAAGGTCCTCTGGTAGGAATTGAACCTACGGCCCTGCGATTCCGGTGCAGCGCTCTAACCAACTGAGCTACAGAGGCCAGCTGTTGAGCTTTAACCGTAAGTTCATGTATATTTAGGTAATCGGGTGTGCGAGTTGTGATAAGGTGGACTTCAATAATTTGGATTCTTGCACTTCACTTGGTGGAATTAATATTAGAATGTTAGGGTTTGTAATCCAAATGAGAATATATAAATTTTAAGACCTAACAAGGAACGACTGCGAAAAAAGCAGCACAAGGTCCTCTGGTAGGAATTGAACCTACGGCCCTGCGATTCCGGTGCAGCACTCTAACCAACTGAGCTACAGATGCCAGCTGTTGAGCTTTAACCGTAAGTTCATGTATATTTAGGTTATCGGGTGTGCGGGTTGTGATAAGGTGGACTTCAATAATTTGGATTCTTGCACTTCACTTGGTGGAATTAATATTAGAATGTTAGGGTTTGTAATCCAAGTGAGAATATATACATTTGTATATTCTCACTTGGATTACAAACTATTCTCATTTGGATTACAAAATATATACACAAAATATATACATGTACTATACATTTGTATATTCTCACTTGGATTACAAAATATTCTCACTTGGATTACAAAATATATACATGTATATATTCTCACTTGGATTACAAACCCTAACATTCTAATATTAATTCCACCAAGTGAAGTGCAAGAATCGAAATTATTAATTTCAAATGCCCCGCCGGGGCTAAGGTTCGAGTGGAAATACCCAACCCCCGGGATGTGCTTTACAGGAAAATGGCTGGGCGAGGGGGATGGGCACACTTGGATTTGGCTGATGCATTAGAAGTCATGGAAAAAGAAAAAACTTTTCATATTGCTACTATAAAATGGCTTATTGTGCTTATTCCTGTGCTTATTCCAGAGTGCTTGTCAAATATTTACTTGCTAGAAGTAGAAATTTACTCTGACCACTGGATGAAGAAGACATTAAATAAGTACTGGTCAATAAATAGAAATGTATTTTATTTCATAGTATTACAATTTTATTTTTATACTATAAAAATAAAATATAAACATGCGGCATAGAATATGCAAATTCGAGGCAATATTATTGTTGAATCGGTTTATTTATAGGATTTTATAACAAATAGCAACTATAAAAGTTTGTACCTTGTCTTCACATCGCTTTATTCTGTTAGCCAATGCTTTTAAATTTACATATTTTAGAATCAGTTCCTTTCCTGGTAACTGCATTTCTAAATGAAATCATCGTGAGTAGTGAGTGCTGAGCAGGCCGTTTTACTATAAACAAATTTTAGGAATTGACAACAACTTTGAAAAATATATCGTTGCACATTCGGTCACAGTCGGAAAAATGGTTGTACCGTCGCTTGCAAC